ATGAGTGCCAAACATCTTTTGGACTCCGGATTAAATTACTAAGATCAGTTAATTAATCTTATTTCTTGTTCATATGCGATATGGTTAGTCAAGTTGTCTTAATCAAGTTATTATGTTCGTGTTACACTCCTAGTCTCTACCGGTGGTAAGTTCTAATTATTTTATATAGGTAGGCTGCAATGGTCTTAGGTATATTCTCTAGCCTACAATTATGTAAATCAACAGAATCTAAAACTTAATGTTACGCTCCAAATAAAATTGAGCTTGTAGAAAGTTTATACATGCACCGCAAAGATGAAAATGAATTTATATTTTTTGTTCGCCAAAAGGTTATAAATATACATAGGAATAACATCGATAATGAAATCTATCAATATCACCATGCAAGCACATTCAGCCAAGTTTGTTTGATTTATAATATCCGTGCACCAAATGCTAAGTACGCTTGATTTATAATATCCGCCGACTAGACGTGCTTCACCGCTACGCTGGAGACCATCTCCATCTCCTATACTTAAATACATGCATCAAACTATATAAGATACCTAGTTTCATTTGCAGAAACAAAGCAGAGCACACATTGCACACTAGTAGTAGCGCAATCCATCAAACATACCATGGACATCTCAAAAGCTTTGATCCTTAGCATCCTCGGGTGCCTCTGCTTCTGCAATTCGGTCCTAGCAGCTCGGGAGCTCAATGATGACTTGTCGATGGTGGCAAGGCACGAGAGCTGGATGGTGCAGTACAACCGTGTGTACAAGGACACTACTGAGAAGGCACGTCGATTTCAGGTGTTCAAGGCCAATGTTGGGTTCATCGAGTCATTTAACGCCGAGAACCGTAAGTTCTATTTGGGCATCAATCAGTTCACCGACCTAACCAACGAGGAGTTCAAGGCGACAAAGGCTAACAAGGGATACAAACCAAGCTTGGACAGGGTTCCTACCGGATTCAGGTACGAGAATGTAAGTTTCGATGCACTTCCGGAAACTGTAGACTGGAGGACCAAAGGTGCAGTAACTCCCATCAAGGATCAGGGCCAATGTGGTGAGCATATTAAGGATAATGATGTATTGGATATATGTTTACTTTCTTTGAGAATGTCGTCTTATAATATCTACTAAACCATAATAATGTGTAGGTTGTTGTTGGGCATTTTCTGCTGTCGCTGCTACGGAGGGCATTGTTAAGCTCAAAACTGGCAAGCTTATCTCATTGTCGGAGCAAGAGTTGGTGGATTGTGACGTCCATGGCGAAGACCAAGGTTGTGAAGGAGGGCTCATGGATGATGCCTTTAAATTCATTATCAAGAATGGCGGTCTCACCACCGAGTCCAACTACCCATATACCGCGGCAGATGACAAGTGCAAGGGTGGAACCAATGATGCCGCAACCATCAAAAGCTATGAGGATGTTCCAGCCAACAACGAGAGAGCCCTCATGCAAGCCGTCGCAAGTCAACCCGTCTCAGTAGCTGTAGATGGAGGAGATATGACGTTCCAGTTTTACAAAGGTGGAGTGATGACTGGCTCATGTGGCACTGACCTAGACCATGGTATTGCAGCTATTGGTTACGGCAAGACCAGCGACGGCACAAAGTATTGGTTGTTGAAGAATTCATGGGGAACAACATGGGGTGAGAACGGATATTTAAGAATGGAGAAGGACATCACCGACAAGAGGGGCATGTGTGGCCTTGCGATGGAGCCTTCTTACCCCACGGCATAGAAAGAGTGTCCTATGCCACATATCCTCCTATGCACACAAATATCAAATAATTGCCCGCATCCACTTTAATTAAGTATAGTTTGTATTTATATCTAAATTATGTACAAATTTATGTCTTGTATAGTATTTCATGTTCCATGTATACAATGTAAATTATGCCACATATATACAGATTGATGAAGAATTTGTGTTAGCTATATCTTCCAGACATTGTGAATTGGGCTGCCTTTTAATTGTGCCTTCATGCATGTGTAGTGAACTATTTGAGTAGTTCATGTTTTTACGGTAATCTTGGAACCATATAAACAATATGTGAAAATGATGGAGCTGATTTGTAAATAAAAGTTGAAGCATGATGAATGTCAATTCTTAAATCTTGAAGAAATGAATTATGACGGACCATTCTCTTCCCAAATCCCCGTTGTCCTGGTCGTTCAACCCTCGTACACCAGCCTCCTCTCCCCAACCCACAACGGCAGCCGCATGCCTCCTGCTGTCCTGCATGTACTAAAATTCAACAAACTAAAACTAGTGCTTTCTCGTAGAGTCGCAGTAGTAATTAGTACGCAAAGCACTGGCGCGTTCAATGTCCCATTGAACACTGGTGTTAAGTTTGTGCTGCGAGGTTCCAAACGTGGACAACCAGTGTTCCAGCAAATTTGTAGCGCTATGCAACTCCCGACGCTGAGGCTTGCTGTGGCCACCTCGAGCCCGTGTTGTACATGGCGAGAGGCTGAACAGGCACGAGCCCGGCCCGACGCCACGCAGGTGTCGTGGAACAGCCGCCAAAGCTCCGGCGACGGGCAGAGCGACGAGTGTTGTTCCGGTGGCTGACACGTACGGGGAATGTGGTGGATGTATTCTCCTCCTCGAAGCCTCCTCCTCTTAAGCTGCTGTACGGCCAAGTTGCTGGGCCGGAAGGCCGGATCGCAGCCAGACGAGACGAACAACACCTTTGCATATTGTGTCGGTGTCTCGATGTGCTCAGTGCCTTCACCGGGCGCGCTACCCTCGCCGGCCATGGCTTCCGTCGACGGACGTTTCTCTCTCTCCAAATGAGCATTACAGATCTGCTGTTCAAAGCAGTGGTCCATGGACCGGTAGCTCACGTTCTGAGCCATGCATGGGTTGATGGTGTAATCATGCTTACACATGAAAGATCCAACGGAAAACCATTTCGAATAAAGATAAGACATAGCCACACAGGGTGCTTTGGGACAGAGGAAAGAGACAGAGAAAGCAACATATTTACTGACAAAAAAAAGGAAGATAAAGAAAAAGAAAAAAACATAAACGAAAGCAACATATTCCAAGGAAAGAAATGGAAAAAGATAAAGATAAGCATCCCTTGTATTGTATGGTAAGACAGGTCCTGCAGGACCATTACAAATGTGCTTCTGGATTTACTAGTTTCTATATATTACTAGTTCCATGTCTCCCATGCTTTGCAGATGATAACAAACAATAAACAAACAAGACTCGGCGCGCGGTCCGCGTCGACTTCTCCGCTTGATCGACCCCTACGACCCACAAGGTACATTACTCTACTGACTTGCTATAGCGGCATCCTGTGCTGAGTGCACCTTAATTTGATGGCTTTTCATTCATTTCCTGCTGAACTCCGCAATTGCCTGCCGTTAGAGCGTCATTTCTAATTGCATCTGTGCCAACAGTGGCTTCCATTATCTGTTTTTTAATGTGCCGAAAATTTATACTGATGTCCACATCTGATCATCAGGTCATGGCGGACAATTCTACCTGCATAGAGCCCTTTTTAAAGTGCTGCCAGGAGACTTCCAATTGTTTTACCGACTGCACCGATGGGGTCGAGGATATGTTCTCTGACTCCATATCAGGGCAGTTGTGGCGAGTGGAGGCGATGCTGTTCGTCAACGCCATCCTTGCAGGAGTCATGGTCGGAATAGGCGCCTACGGTCACCGTTATCGCCACTATGGCTTCACCCGCTATCTCTTGCTGGGGGCAACCACCTTGTTCCTACCCATCATATCTTATGTCCTCTCTGCGTTTGGCTCCGTTGGCTATGAGTTTGATGTCACTATCCCCTCTCAATTGATAGCCACTTGTCGGGCATACTTCATTCACACATACATGGTCATAGTATCCATCTGCCTTGTTCTGATTTCTGCTATCAATACAAGCCCCATAGTTGCTACTGATGATAGAGAAGATCGAAGCATACACCCTCCCTTCGAACTTCTTGTTCAAGGAATTTGGATAGTTTACCTGGTGATCAGCACCAAAGCAATTCCGAATGAAAGTAAACTTAATTATCTCAGACTATTCGCACCCTTTCCTCTTATCTATGCCAAAATGACATTAAAATGTTATGCATTTATAAAGGCCCGGAAATCCTTTGCACTCGGACACAATCCTCGTCTTATTGTTGGATATATGCAGCAACTGCAAGTAGAAAACGATCAACATGCAAGTGAGGAGGATGTGCCTCCTCCAGCACCACTTGTAGTTATGGGTGAGGACGGACATAAACTAGAGAAGCAACCTCATGGTTTCATGTTCGGAAAGAACTTGGAGGAGGTTCAACAGGGTGGTTTGGTGACCATTGACAGAGTTTGGCAATTAGAAAACTTGTTTCTAAAAGATATATGCTTGTCATTTGCATTGTTTAAGTTGCTCAGGTGTCGATATGCAAGATACAAACTCACCAATGTGATCCCTATAGAGACATTCAAATTTGTCAGGAACATCTTGCTAAAGGATGGTGAACATGAAAGAGCCTTCGCGATGATTGCAGATGAGCTTTCTTTTCTTCATGATTATTATGATTCACCACTCCTAGTATCCTACTCAGATAACTGGTTGGTTATAGTTAGTATGATTATCTCACTCTTGAGCGTGGGTTACTGCATATTTGTTGGGACGGACATCATCACAGCGGTGCACATTGCTGTTCGGAATCCTGTGGAGTATATTTTTTTTGAGCCCTAACACTAAGGAGTATCGGCGGGGACTGCACACAATCACTTGCATCTACAATTGTCAACAGGCTTGGCTCAAAAGCCAGGACGTAAACAAAGATTTTGGAAATTTGTATTTTGATGTAGTGCCGGTACTGTTACTCCTTGTGTTTGTGGCGGTTGCTGAGGCCAAGGATATTGCTTCGCACATATGCTCTAACTGGACCAAAGTAATTCTCACCTGCCGCTGTGTGCGCCGTGCCTCCTTGAAGCTCTCTCCCGTCCTCCCGAAATGGGTTGGCTTTTTGTTGCGATGCAGATGCGGCAGGTTGATGAGGCATTGGAGCGACAAAATGAGACAAAGCTCATTGCTTGTCTTACCTGGCTCTGGCTGCCTCCTTCGTTTGCTGGACCGAAAGAAGAATGTTGAAGTACCAACGGCAGTGAAGGCTTGCATCATCGACGCCCTGAGAAGCACAAGCAGTGAAGGTCTAAGCAAAGGCACAACTTCCCTACGCCAGAGCCAAGATGGCCGAAGCCTACTCTGGGCCTGCAACAACGGCAAAGGTACTTCTGACACCATACTTGTGTGGCACATCGCCACGGCCATCCTTGAGATGAGGCATCTGCACCATCAACCTGATGACGATCCTCCTCTGCAAACACTGCATGGTGGCAGGTCTTTTTCTGTTTCCGAGAAGAAGACCGCCGCCACTCACCTGTCGCACTACTGCGCGTATCTGGTGGCCTCCTGCCCCGAGCTACTTCCTGATGATGACGCATGTAGCAAGTACCTCTACAACAAAGTCAAGAAGGACACTGACCGAGCCCTCGCCATCGGCAGCGGCACACCGGTGTCGCCCATGTCACCAGAAGCGGGGTACCGACAGCTGATCGAGATGTTGGGCGCTACACAGAATCATGAGGTGCTCAAGGATGCGGCGAAGCTCGCGAAGCAGCTCGGGGAGGTGGCCGGAGGCGAAGAAATAGTGTGGGAGTTGCTGGCCGGGTTTTGGTCAGAGATGGTCCTTTACCTGGCTCCGTCGGACAACCTCAAAGGGCACCTGCAGGCCATCGACCGGGGCGGCGAGCTGATCACGCTCCTCTGGGGCTTGCTCACCCACATCGGGATCATCGACAGACCTGGCGACACCGCTGCAAGTGCTTCAGCCACTGGTGTTTAAGTTTGCTCTGCTTATTCATGCACACACTGATATGCATGCTTAGGTGTGGATTTCAGTTCCTTTCGTTGTTCTCTTGGTTGTGACTTGTGAGTGTGTTTAAGGTCTGTTGGTTGTGAGTGTGATTTAAGGCCTTGTAGCTGGCCCTTTTTTTTTCTCATTTCTATTATCCAAGAAGAGATTGGAAGTGTGTGGGAGAGATGAGACATGGGGATAATGGTATTGTTTTACCGCTTCTGGATTGTGGCTTTTCAAGTGCCAAAGATACGAGAAGTTTGTGGTGCTATTTTACTGCAGCTTCTGGGAATGTGACCTCTGAACCTTTACTAAACCGTTCCGTAGTTATGTGTAGCCCGTGCGCAAGGCCGGAGGTAGAGACAACTCCTTGCATCGCCGTCCATGTCGTTGAGGAGCACAATGGGTCCATGGCGCTGCCCACACCGGCGGCGACAGTCCACACGCACGCAAGCCTTCGGGCATCGAGAGGCACGCGGTCATCGACATGATGAGAGCTCGCGCCTGCATCGTCTTGTAGTAGAGCCGCATCGAGTCGAGTCATGGGTCGTCACTCGCCAGCACTGTTCACCTCATACGCTCTGAAGTTTGTCCGTCAGGATAATTTATATTCCTGTGAGGCGCTTCAGGCCACACAGGGAAATACTGCACCCACAAGAAAAGTACGGTTTCAAGTCCACTCAGCCGTGATGCGCCGGTGCTCTACGGCGCCCAGGGCTAGCGTCCGCGGAGCGCCCGTGCCGTGTCGCAAATGTCCTCGCGCACGACGATGTCCGCGGCGGTCGCGCCAGGCGAACGAGCTGTCCTAGGGAAAGCATAGCACCGACGCAGTTTTACGGGAAACATCAAAGTCTCTTTTCAAAGGATTTTCGGATGTATTTTGGAGAGCCGGAGTCTTTGATATATTTTCTAAATTTGTTGTTTTATTAATAGGCTATACGGATTTTCTTTTCCTCCTGCGGATTTCATAGCACTAAATTTTACTCCCTCCGTTCGGAATTACTCGTCTAAGAAATGAATGTATCTAGATGTATTTTAGTTGTAGATACATTCATTTTTATTCATTTTTATGACAAGTAATTCCGAACGGAGGGAGTATATCCACACCACATCTTGAAAAGAATTCTTCACTTTCCGTGTGGTGCAATTAAACAAACTTTAATGCAAATGCAATCATGTAGGATGCGCGAAAGGATCCGGCTTGCCTGCTCCCTCCCCATGCTTCAATCCATGCTTCCACTTCATCCTACGGCTGTCTTTTTTCCTTTTCTCTTTCTAATTTAATCATCTCCCTCCTAATTTTAAGGGGATGGGCCGAGTCTTATTTTGTTTCAATCAAATCAAGCCACGTACACGGAAGCACGGATGGGCACACACGGGGAGTGCAGGCAAGTCTCGTCCTGCGCGAAAGCGTCTCCTACCACCCAGCACGGCCGGGCTAACCATCCCTGTGAGGCTGCGAGGTGACAGCCCTTGTAGTCGTCAACTTTTGGCATTTTAGCCTTCAGATATCTTGCATGCTGGTGGAAATGGAACAGCCGCGTAGGATAGTATGCCATCTTCCATCGACGCTTCTCCCCAAATGAGAACCAGAGCAAAGCAGTGGTCCATGAATAGATAGCTGGCAAGGGTACTCGCATAAGCAAAGAACATGTTCCGAGCCATGCATGGATATGGATGGTAATCATGCATACACATGAACACTCCTCACACATGAAAGATCTAACGGCAAACTATTCATATAAAGATACTATAGAATATGTGAATTGCATGATGTATTGCTCTTCGTGCGTGTAGGCACGTATATATGATGT